ACCCACATAAAGTAACAGATTCATACACGCTGGCATCAGGAGACAAGGGAAGGGGGTGATATCAGCAGTCCCACAGTTTCAATTAAACTGCTATTTCCTATAGATATGATCATACCATTCATAACACAGCTTCTCTATGTTTTCATGTGTCCATGCTTCCCTCAAAACTGGCTTGATGTCCCTTCACATCCATCACTCCTCAGCGGTCTTTCTTCAATGGAGTAAAAGGAGGTGATAACGCTTTCTGCTTCTCTTCCCCCAAGAAGGTGGATGCCACCTTGCACCCTGACCACCTCCATGGGTGAAGAGACTGAGCTGACTGAGTAAGTCTTATTGTCCATATGACCAACTAGAGCAAAGTTAACACATGGAAATCATCCATATTGGGGGGAAAATAAAATTCCAGAAAGCATAAGCAAAATTGTATAATTAAACTTCTATGAAAAGTCTCTATTTAATTGGCTGATGTGCATGAAAGGGTATCTCTGGTCAAAAACTAAAAATAAATATGTATTTCTACACTGAATTTCCATAGTTACTATACCACTCCTAATAATAACCATATCAATCTAGATGTTTGTAAACGTACTTATTGAAGATGTCCATAGGATGTACTTTTTCAATGCACTGACACGATTTCACTCAGCCCTGGGAATATGCACAGCTCTCACAGTGCCTGACTTCTGAACTCAACGTCTGAACAATGTAACATTATCATTGCTTGCTTGACGCAATGCATGATGGGATATGTAGATTTGAGAAATCGAGATTGCATAACATCAAGCAGCAGTGAAAGATGCAAAGCACACTGGGAATCCAGGAAGTTGTTGAAAGTGATGGGCAGATGGAAGGCAGCACTCACTACATAAAAGGGATTTTTTCAAGTAAGCTTTGGTTGCATTATCAAACACAACTATAGTATGTATTTGTATTACAATGATGATGTTATAACAGGATACTATGGCTTTAGAACTCATTTAAAGCCCATACATTACTGAGAGGATAGTTATAACCTTGTTTAACATAAAGAAGGTGGGAATGGGAAGTAGGAGAGAAAAATGCACAAAAAACTGATAAGTTTCATGAAATAAAGCAGCCACTATTGAAAATATGACAACCAGATTTCAGTTTACCAAATTCAAATCTGTGATAGACAAATTCTGAAGAACTGTTGTTCATACGTACCTCTTGCAAATTTGCCAGTTGCCTGGCTGAATATGACTTGATACAACCAAACAGCAGCAAAAAAGCACATTAACTCACTACAGCCAATCAGATTTCCTAGTTTACATCAGAAAGGAAAAGCAAACATGACACCATGTGGTATGCTGTTGGCTTTAGCACTCTGAATATTGAATATTGATTTTTAGAAGCTTAGCACCAGGCAGAAATTAAAGTGGAATGTAAAACATTTAAAGTGTACCTATAGGCAAAACCTTCCTTTGTAGTTTAGGATGGTGTGGGGAAGGGTTGGACCCTCTGTCAGGTCTTCCAATGGGGATGTACCCAGAACAAAAGCTAAGGGGAAATCGTCCAATGGGGCCTGTTCTGGGGAAAATTGTGAATTCCCCTCACTTTGGAAAATTTCCTCTAACTTCCTATTTTTTTTCCCAATGGTATACAAACAGAAAAAGATAACCTGGCAAGGGTTTTGACCCTCCTTAATAGTATCGAAAAGTAAAAAAAAAAACTATGCCCAAACTATGCACACTAAGACCTTGTTGTGATGATGCAGCTGATTGCTGGTAAACACCGATCTGAACTTGTACATCCATAAAGCTAAGGATGCCCTTCTGCATGCAGATAGACACTGTTCAGATGGACAAGTTTGGGTGGGCCTTTACCAACTTGGAGCCACATCTAGTCATTGAGTTGTACAGGTGGCTGAATGCAACACCTGTCACCCCCAGGCAATGGTTTTTGCACGGATGTGAACGCTGTAGGGATGCAAGTACAAGTAGAAGTACTGCTACTTTTTCAGCTCCAAGACTAGACTAGTGAAAAACTCAAAAGTTAGGAGGCAGCTGTCATTTTGAGGGAGCATTGGCTACAGGGCTCCTGGGATTTGTGCATCCCTGTTTTAAAGTTTGATTTGTTTATATTTATCTATATCTATATAGATATATCTATATAGATATATCTATATCTATATATATATATATATACACACACACACAGTATATACTGTATATATTAGGGATTCACCGATAACATTTTTCCCAGACCAAGTACAAGTACTCACAGATACAATTACTGATACCTTTTTCTTTAGTGCCATGTGACAGTTTTCCTAAAACAATACAGACTAATGATTTCAGGAGAGTAGTGGAGCACCAGAGCCAAGTCCCAGCTACAACCACTGTAACCCTGGTAGTTCTCGTGAAAATGCCAAGCATCGGCATATATATATACACATGTATATGAACTGGTATCTGAACATCCCTAGAACGCTGTATGTCTCTGCACGTCCATGTGAATGACGCCTAAAGAGTGTATATACTCTGATCAAGCAGTAAAAGCAGTAAAAGCAAAACAAGCCTGGACTCCTAGCACTGAAATCTGAGTTCATTACTTTCTACGGAGAGCAGAAACTTGGCATCCCCCAGCAGGTGTTCCTAAGCTGTTAGACACTGACTGAAACCTTTTAGTCTTTGTTGTGATCTTTGAGAACAAATTATTTTATAATAGAAAGAGTTAGATAGGTTTTGGTGAACTTGTTTTAAAGCTTTTTACGTTTTGTTAAGGATATGTATGTACTTTAATGTTCATAGTCTGGGCACAGGTGCACTTAACGTTTTGGTTTAGTGGAGACAGAATAGATCCTCTGTTAGCATTCTAATGTGTCTCCTGATGACATCCAAGGTATTCTCGTGAGCTGAACTTCCTGTTCCCCCTCTCTGGAGTTTATTTTCCATATACTCCTTTGCAATATCTACCTAAGGGAGGATTACAATGTCCAGCTTTATACATTAAATGGCCATCTTTACACTATTAAAGCGGACCTGTACACTCAAAAATCAAATTCTACCAATGCATCCCTCTATGCATGATGATTAATAATAACAGACATGCTAGGTGTAAAATGCTGTGATTATGAAATGCTTACACTTCCAGAGCATTTACTTCCTGCTTTGAAAGTGCAAATGACTTCAGTTTGCCAGGCAATGCACACTGGGATCGCCTCGTCATCTAGGGTTGCCACCTGTCCAGGATTCACCCGGACAGTTCGGGTTTTGAATGCTGTGTCCGGGTTTCATGACAGCTGAAACCCGGACACAAGATGTCAGGCAGACAGGTGGCAACCAAAAGTAAGATAGGGGCTACTGGCCCCCCACTGAAAATAGTCCCAACTGTGATATTTACATATTAACGGGTAGAGCTATTTACATATGAATAAGCCACAACTCATTCTCCCAATAAAATGTCGCGCGTCGCTAGAGTGTGTACGGGTTTCGCTTGAAGAAAAGGTGGCAACCCTATCGTCATCAGCAGACCGTTGGTGGGAAATCTCATCTGTAATCTTACAAGATCTCAGGGAAAGGCATTTTCCTCCCCTGAGATGATGTGCATCATCACATGTCCTAGTCACATGTGCCAGTAATCCAGAAAGTAAAGGGAGAACTAGTAATCTGCCCTTAGTAAACATGGTCACTGTCAGAAGACTGGGGAAGAAAAGAGAAACAAGGAATGCAAAGAATATAAAGCCGGCAATTATCTACAAATATATGTGTTTGTAAATTGTCATTACTAAACATTTCTAAAAGGTGTGTTTTGTTGTTATTTTAAAGATATGGGTAAAGGTCAGCTTTAACTACAATTTCTACCTTATTTCCCTTATTCCCATACCCATACATAAAAAAGGCAATCTCAAGACTGCAAACTCACAGTGTAAATTGGCATAAATAATATATAACAGGCAGAAGCATCATTGAAATGATAGATGAGCGCACCCAAAACTAATGTTAGAGTGTTAACTTGCCTATACCTGACCATACATTTTCATACAATGGCTGTGAATCGGCCAAAATTCAAGCCATGGGTGGTCCTGCCAACACCACCTGGCTAAGAAGTTGCCTGGTCAAACAGCCAATCAGCTGCAGTCACTATTCAGGTATTCTGACAGCTATGGGAGCTGGCTGTCAAAATATAATAGCTGCCAGGGGAGATTCCTCCATCCACCTTTGTTAAGCGTGGATGAGTTGATCTAGTGAATTCTCTCAGTGGGCTCAAAGAGAGAAATCTTTATGTGTATGGGTAGCTGCAGCCTAAAATATTTTATTTTTTTGGGGACTCTGGTGCTTGAGTTTGGAGGTCTTCACATCTATTACAGCAACTGTAACAGGATTCCTTGTTGGATTCAAAAATTATTTATTTTAAACTATTAGAAATGCAAGAAGAAGGAGACAGAACTTATCTGCAAGGTGAAGGCCCCATTCATAGTTGTAAGTTTAGGTGCGATTAGGGATTCCTGCATCAAGAATTTGCGATTTCCTGCAGCAGGAATCCATAATCTGCTGTTTACAAGTGGCACCTGTCACCCGTTCCAGTTAATGATCGGGTAAGAGCTGCTGCATGTAAACACCGGCACACCGCATGTAATACAATGACATGCGGTTAGGAATCACTCACTATCGATCGTGCATCCAGGGAGAGTGATTGATTACTAAACGCATGTAATCGTATTTAGTGTGCCAGCGTTTACATGCAGCAGCTCTTACCCGATCAAAAACAGGTGACAAGACTGTAAATGGCAGATTAGGGATTCCTGCAGCAGGAAATCACAAGTTGCTGACACAGGAATCCCTAAACGCTCCTAAACATACAGGTGTGAATGGAGCCTTAGTAGTAATAAAATTCTCAAGAGATAAACGAAGCCAACAGGCCATTCAGTCCACCAGACTCCACCAACCCACTTTTGGGTAAACTGACCCTTTAACTTCTAAAACTTATATTTTTTTCAGTACAAGAATTTGTAGAAAAGTCAATTTTACTGCCATTACCTTTCACCGATTTCCCAATGCTGTAGAGATTAGTTATAGCTGGATATTTTGTGTTGAAGTCTTTTAATACTCTTTCCATTTCTGGAAAGTGGTGATAGGTAAACTCCAAGCTTTGCACAGAAAGGGCAAAAAAACCCAGGCACGCAACGGTCATCAGCATCTGCTTCAAAGAGAAATGAGAATGTTTAAGTAAATATGGTTTTCACATACACTACTTGTAAATATTTCAAGTGTGCTTACCAAAATAGGAGTAGGACCTTTTTTTGAGAAAGTTAAAGAGTTTCTGACATTATGATCTGTCCCCACATGACAGACATCAACTGAGATTGCACACTAGATACCCAAAAAAGATTATACTGGGTAAGCCAGGGGTGGGCAACTCCGGCCTTCCAGCTACTGTGGAACTAAAAATCCTGTAAGGCATTGCAAGACTGACAGTTACAGGCATGACTACCAGAGGCATGTTAGGATTTGCAGTTGAAGTACAGCTGGAGGGCCGGAGTTGCCCACCCCTGGGGTAAGCCCAACCATTCAAATTTCATAATTCTGCATTCCCAGTTATATGGAATTATTAAAGCCCAACTCCAGCCAAATATTTAACCCAATCTCCCCAGTGAGTACATGGACAGAAGTAAACGCAGTGTTTTTGTAGTGGAGTGGGGTAAAGCATAAAAAAAACATTTTAGGTTTTTGTTGCTGTCTGTGTCTTCATTAGGGAGATTTCCTCTCACTTTCTCTTCAGGAGAGAGCAGGAAGTGAGGCACAAATCATTGGGGACATGGCATTTTAAAGTTCTGAGCCTTTCCCACACTATAAAGATCCTTAAAATGTTGGCTGGAGTTCGGCTTTTAAATTAGGGCTGCAACAACTAATCGACATAATCGATTTTGAAAATAATCGTTAGCTGCAGCTCTATTTTAAATGTTTATGTGTAGGACATAACAAAGCAGAGAAATGTATATAATTGACCTGACTTTCACAAGGTTCCTAAAAATAGATAGCATTTCTAAAGATACCATAACAAATGACTGCTAAGGCAGGAAGAATCTATGACTCATCAAATTCACAAGTGTTTTGTTTAAAATAAAAACATGAAGAAAATATACTAGCATCAGTCAATAATACATGACTGATGCTAGTATACCTAGTAAAAGAATACCTGTATTCCTATATCTCAGAACTCTTTACTAAAAAAAATCAAAACGTGGATAGAGGCACATAAAGAAAGTTTAGCAAACAAATTAAATTGGAAAGTAATTTAAAAAAAAAGGATAAATTACTCATGTACAGCAAGTACTTAAAGGAAATGTATAATGGTTTATGCATATTTTCATAATATGGTCAGGGTAAGTAAATAAAAATGTAAAAATATTTCTACTTTTTTTTAGTTCTGTGCATATGAGATATTCCATTGAATATTGTGTAGTCATCTTTTCAGCTAGCAAGTTTTCACATTCTTTCCTCTGTATAGTTACTACCTGATAACAGATCTCAGTAGGTCAAGCCAAAATTTTCTATATACAGATTATGTCACAGCAATGATGTGTCCCCCTCACTCCCCCTCCTTTCAAATGATTTTGTCTAATGTTTTATTCATAGACAGGGTGTCTCAAAAAAAGACTTTGTTCTGCCCTCTCTTTAACACACAATGCTCAATCCTTTGTTGTGGATACACCATGTAAAGGTGTGACTCATTCCTTATCAGATGGCTCCATCCAATTAGACAACATGAGCCAAAGAGCAAACTGGTTCTGCTGTGCTGTCTCTTAAACTAACCTAGAGTATTCTGGGAATCCTTTGATATGTATTAAATGGTTACTTGTAAAACAAAGATTTTATATGTAAAAAAAAGACTGGTTCCCACAACCTCTTCTCCCCCAGGCTCCGGCAGCCTAAGAACCTGTGATATCACTCACGTCTAACAGGTCTATTAGATGTGAAGACGCTGAGGGACATACCACAGCCGTAGTGAAGGGGCAGAGAAGTGAATGCTGACCGCCACAGGACCGAGAATCATGTGATTAGGTTAGGGTAGAAAACTGGCTAGTGAACTAAGCAAACACCTACACGTGGCCAAAAAGGTTAATCTCTTGTCCCTCTAAACATCGCTACTGCCTGCAAAAAGTGGTGGTGTGTAATCTCAGTGGTCAGTGTTTGCTGCAGGAGATGTGAAGGAGTGCACTAAAGTTCAGACTTTAGTGCTCCCTTAGGTATTTGGGTAAATAATGGCTAAAGATGGTTGTTTTTAACTATATTGAAGGTGGCCTGCTGCGCTAGGGGAGAGCATGTCTCCCAACAGTCCCAGAGTTTGTGGCACTGTCCGGGGATTTTAACTCAATGCCGGTCTGTGGATCCAGGCTATGTCCCACTGCTAGCCGTCAGCAAGGGGGCCCAAGCATTCCGGAATTGTGATCCCCATATTGCTACTGGAAGGACTGTGTGCCGCTGTTTGGGAGGAGGAGAGCCAAAAAGGGAGGGGACAAGCACCCTTAAGCTATACATAACGCAAAAGAATGAAGGCAATCAATGGTTTGTCAGTGAAATGTTTTTTGCAGTTGAAACTTTTAGCATATTTTTTTATTGTTAGCCCTCATTCACGCGAGAAAAGGCCGGAACGTACAGCTCCGTGCTGCGTGCACGGCCGTATCGGGCAGCTCCCGGGAAGGACAGGTGCTGCGTGTGATTAGTAAGCAGCACCTGTCCTTCTCTATGGCTATCCATGCTGTCAGCATACAAGTACAGACACCCACACGGACGTGCAAGGCAGGTGAGCGTAGGGCGGCGTACGGCCACGTACTGCCATAGAGAAGGACAGTGGCTGCATACTAATCACACGCAGCAGCTGCCCAATACGGCCGTGCACGCAACACGGAGCTGTACGTGCCGGCCTTTTTTAATTTGAATGAGGCCTTAAAGGAAAAATCTCTTATTGGAGAGGTCCTACCTGATAGGTACATTCGCTCCCAAGAAATAATTTTCCCTGACCTGACCACTAACGCCAGGCATTTTTCCTCCCTACGATTATCAATGCTGGGCATTTTTTTCTTCCACTGACCATTTTCTGCCCCCGTTGACCACAGACACATACTATCTTTTTCTCCTGCTGACCAGCAATATAAGGAGCACTGTGAAACATACTGCTAACTGCTGCACATTGTGTTGTACATAACAAACCTGCTGTACATTGCATAGTGCATACCTCTGACCAAAGTGTTTTATTGTCTCTTCTGCTGCTGGTTGCTAACAAGTTTCTGGCTATTTCAATAAAGGTTTTCTCTAAGGTAGGCTCAAACAAACTGTTAGCTCGTTGTCCATATTCAGTTTTATTTTTTGAAGATAATCCTTTAGGTTTGTGTGTGTGTCTGTGAAACTTGTGGTACACAGACTGTGCCATACAGCAGGGCTCAAAATTTCAGGTCCTGAGCTACTAGCCAGGCCTTCAAAGTTACTCGCCACCAGTTGCCCTGTATAACACAAACAAACACACACAGGGCACAACGCGCACACAGCACAACACACATACAGCCACAGCACAACGCACAGAGCATTACACATACACATTTCATCTGAAATTAATTTTTAGTCTTTGCACATGTCTAATAAAATACGTGTGGGGGGGAGCAGTTTTCACTTTTTTAAAATAATTTTTTACATTTTTTATTATAATTTTTTATTTTATGATTTATTTATTTTTTTTACTGTTGGGGGGGCTTCAGGGGGAAATATTAGGGGTCCAAACAGACCCCCAAAATTTCCCTTTTAAAATAGAAAAGAAATTGAGGACACCAAATCCTCAATTTCTTTTTCAGCAGCCTCAGCACTCAGTGAATGGGAAGCACTCAGTACAGAGGCTTCCCATTCAATCAGACACTGATAGTAAATATTTTACTATCAGCTGTTTCTGAATGGGGAGGAGCCTCTGTACTGAGTGTTTCTCCCCATTGAGAAATTCATAATTGAACAGGCTGTGATGTGAATCACAGCCTGTTCATTCATAACTGGGGACACATAGTGCTATGTGTCCCCAGTTATTTACAAACACTGGAGTGATCCGACGATCGCTCCAGTGTTTGTCCTTCTCACATGGAGGATCGGTAAATATCAATGATATTTACCGATCCCCGCTCTGCCACGCACAGAGCCGCTGTCATCCTGAAACTGACAGGATCACAGCGGCTCGGATCGGAACACCGCTCAGCCATCCTGACAGCTGCGTGTGCGGCTTCTCTCCCCCTCACCGCTCCGCCATCCTGAAAGCAGGCAGCGCTCCCTCCTGCGCCCCCCTGCTTAGACGGACAGACGAGGGAGCGCTGTCATCAGGTCGGTGAACAGGAGAGAAGCCGTCCCGAGGAGGCTTCATTTCCACTCGCCCCCACGCAATTTTCATTCGCAAATTGCGAGGGGGCGAGTGGAAATTTTGAGCCCTGCCATACAGTATATGTGCAATGTGTACTACGAGTAGGCTTAGACTATATTTAACTATGTCCTTTAGGCCACACACAATATCCTATGCAATTTATCCACACCCACATTTTGCTTCAGCGCATGCCGCTTGTTTTCTCTTTTTCATGTTGTCTTTCTTTCTTTACTTCTGATGTTGGAAGGTATGGGGGAGAGGTTTATGGGAAGATTGGATTAGTATTTAAACAGGGATTAAGGGGGGAGGGAGAGTTAGAATATAACTGGTCAGATAAATCAGACATTAATAGAGGGTGGAATGGGGGAAAATAGGGAGAGGGCTATGACAGATAAGGAAATTCCCATGTTACAGACATTAGTGATACCAGTACTATTTGCGCAACAAAAAAATAAATGGTTAATACAAGTGCAAAATAAAACAACTGACTAAAGTGTTTGTTCGCCAATACCAGAAGTCAGCCAAGCACAATCAGTGAGCTGCAAGTTTTGGTGTATGAAGAACACTATAGTTTAATTGGTATTGCTGAATCTTGGCTTTGTTCTTCACATGATTGGACTCTTAATATTTCTGGCTATGAGATCTTTCAGAGAGACAGGGTAAAACGAAAAAGAGATGGTGGTGTCTGTCTTTTTGTGAAAAGTGATCTAAAAGTGAGTGTGACGGAGGACCTGGTTGATGGATAGTGTGATGTTGCTGGGGTATTATGGATGGAGTTACATGTGGGTGTGCATACTGCAAAG